ATAACCCTTAGCGCTGGATGCAAGCTACTCAGGAGGCTGAGGCAGGAGAAGTGCAATTTTGAGGCCAGTCTTAGACCCATCTCAAAAAAAAAAAAAATTGAAAAAGGGCTGGAGTTGTAGCTCAGTGGAAGAGTGTCCCTGGATTGGATCCCCAGTACCTTAAAACCAAACCAAAGGAAGCTAAAAAAAAGGAGGGGGAGGAAGAGGGAGGAATGATTGTTACACAGATGTCCCGCTGAAGCAGCTGGCGGGCTGGTGGTGCCATTTATTGAGACAGAAGACAGATAGGAGTGGCATGGGCACAGGTGGGTTGGGATCCAGGGCTCTGTTTGGAGCAGGCTGCGTGTAGCCCCGTCAAGCTTCAGTCAGGGGAGGCAGAGGCCTCTGGGATTTGACAGCAAGGCCCTGCACCCTCTCTAAGGACTAAATTCTCTTCTTGAGAATGGTTTATTTTTATTTTTATGTTTGTGGTACTGGACATTGAGCCCAGTGGTGCTCTAGCACTGAGCTATACTCCCCAGTCCTTTTTATTTTTAATTTTGAGGCAGGATCTTGCTAAGATGCCCAGACTGGCCTCAAACTTGTGATCTTCCTGCCTCAGTATCCTGGGTTACTGGGAGTACAGGCGTGTCCACTGCCCCCTGCTCTTGAGAATGGTTTTAAATGGAATATCTTGGCTTGAGGTTGGTTCCAAGAGAGGTCCAACATGGGAACAGGAAACATCAGGAGACTTGAGGTGGCAGCTGACCTTCAAACAATGTGCAGACCCAGTGCCCTCCCTCATGACGGTCCAGAGCCTTCTATCAGTGACTATAGCAAGTAACAAATCATCCCAAAATATAGTGGTTTAAAACAATAAGGATGTCTTATTTCTCAGCATTCTGGAGGCCAGCGATTTGGACTGGGATCTGCTATTCTCACTTGGGGCTGCTCCTGAGGCTGTGTCATCTGTGGCTCTACTGCAGCTGGAGGGTCTGAGACAGCCTCAGTCCCTGCTCTGGGGGCTGAGATGGCTCTTGGCTGGGACCTCAGTTCTCCACCTGGCTTCGAATCTGCCAGGAGGCTAGGCTGGGTGTCTTCCCAGCTTGGTGGTCTCAGGCTTCCAAGATGGTGAAGGGGGAAGCCTTGCAGTCTCTAAAGAGCCAGCCTTAAATGCCCAGTGTTGCTCCTCTCCACCACATTCTGAGGGTCAGAGTAAGTGAAGAAGCCCAGCCCAGACTTAAAGAGCGGGAAGATCGATTCTGCCTCTTGAGGAGAAGAGTTCCAAAGAATCTGTGGCCACATTTAACTTACTACAGGTCACTCGGCCCCCAGTTGGCTCATATCTAACATGCCACTGCCCTCCTCCCTCAAACCAGCATCATGAATGAGTTGGTATTTGCCAGGTGTGGTAGCACACACCTGTAATCCCAGCTACTAAGAAAGCCAAGGCAGGAGGATAACAAGTTCAAGGTCAGCCTGGGGCACTTGGAAAGACCCTGTCTCAAAATAGAAAATAAAAATTGCCGAGAATTTACCTCAGTGGTACAGAACCCCCGGGTTCAATGCCCAGTACCGCAAAGTTCTAAAAAAAATGCAGACCACTCTATAGATGTCACTCAGTTAAGAATGACATTTGGCTTGGCAATTGACTGCATTTTAAAGATGGCACTAACAGTCAGGCACAGTGGAGCACACCTGTAATCCCAGCCGCTGGGGAGGCTGAGGCAGGAGGATTGTAAATTCAAAGCCAGCCTCAGCAAAACCAAGGCATTAAGTATCTCAGTGAGACCCTGTCTCTAAATAAAATACAAAATAGGGCTGGGGATGTGGCTTGGTGGTTGCATGCCCCTGGGTTCAATCCCCAGTACAAAAAAAAAAAAAAAAAAAAGATGGCACTAACATATCTCCCATCCACATGCTATTCTTACAATGCGATGTTGACAAATCTCCATTAAGAGGTGGGATCATGTGTTCCCACCTCTTGAAACTGGATAGACCTTTTTTGGGGGGGTACTGGGGATATAACTCAGGGGCAGTTGGCCACTGAACCACATCCCCAGCCCTATTTTGATTTTATTTAGAGACAGGGTCTCACTGAGTTGCTTAGAAGCCTCGCAGTTGCTGAGGCTGGTTTGAACTCATGATCCTCCTGTCTCAGCCTCTGGAGCTGCTGGGATTACAGGCATGCACCACCGGGCCCAGCTTGAAACTGGGTAGACCTTTGTAACAACTTTGGCCAATGGAAAGAGGCAGAAGCTGTGCTGTGTGGCTTCTGATTAGAAGGAACAATAGTTTCATCCTTCCAGTATGCTTTTCCTGAGAACCTTGTCACCGTGCTGTGAGGAAGCCCATGCCACACAGCGAGGCCTGGTGTGTCTGTCCAGCTTCTCGCCCTAGTTAGCCCTCAGCGGTCAGCGAGTATCAGCTGCCAAACGTGTGAGTGGATATGCCTTCAGATGATCCCAGCCCCAGCTTTCCAGTCTTCCAGCAGAGGCCCTAGACATTGTGGAGTGGAGATAAGCAATCCTTATTGTGCCTTGTCTAAATTCTTGACCCACAGAAGTCAGGGGAGAGCATAGTGATTATTGCTGTTTTAAGCCACTATATTTAGGATAATTTGTTATGCAGCAGCTGATAATTAATAAAATCTGCTGGTAATTACAGACAAGAAACAACTGTGACTTAAGCAAACAAAAATTTGACTTCTCTTTCTCAATAGCCTCTCAAAATAGGCAACCCAGATCTGATACGCAAGCTCCCCTGGTGTCATCAGAAACCAAGATCTTTTATCTTCTTGTTCTGCTATTCTCAGCACATGGCTACAATTTTCAAGGTGACCTTCTGATCCAAGACAGCTGTTGGAATTCCAGCTACCACATATGCATTCCAGACTTAAGCAAGGAGGGAAGACGAAAGTTGTTTTCACCAATATTGTTTCTAATTCAAGAGCATTGTTGGTAATTCCTTCCGACACCTTCTGTTTTGATCTCATATCCTAGATTTAAATCACACAGTCACACCATCTGAAATAAAACCGGGGTTCTATTGCTGAGGATGGGAGGAGAATATACAGTGGCCAAGGGGCAGTCAGATCTATGGGGTTGGAGCAAAAGATGGAAGAGGGAGACCTTCTTTGTGGGGAGGAGCTGGAACCAGCATGTCTGCTTCCCTGCCCACTGCAGCCTTTTAAAAAAATATTTTGATGATTGATTTGGTGATACTGGGAACTGAACCCAAGGGCACTTGGCCATTGAGCTCCATCCCCAGCCCTTTTTATTTTGAGGCAGGATCTTGCTAAGTTGCCCAGGCTGGCCCCAAACTTTCGATCTCCTTCCTCGACCTTCCAAATGGCTGGGATTATGAACGCACACCACTGCGCCTAGCTCCCACTCGAGCCTTCTTGAGTGTCTGGGCACCATAGGGTTTTCCACTTCAGTTACTTCTGAACAAAGAGGTGATTTCACTCCCAAAGTGAGGCAGTGGACTGGCACCCAGCAGAGCTCTGATCTCTAACTCCATCCTCTCACGTGGCCATCAGGCAGCTGCATTTTTGCCAAACACCCTAACATGCAGCCCTGATATTATCACTTCCCTTCCCCAACTGCCTTCCACTAGTTTGTCCCACTTTAAAGACAAATTCTGGAGTTTGGAAAGGAAGCCACAACAGATTCTTCCAGGGCTCTCTGCTACTACTTTCTTAGCACATCCTGCTTTGTGCCCTTTTCCCAGGACTTCGTTCAGGCACTGGCCCTGCCTAGAACACCTCTACCCTTGGTGAAATCCCATCCATTCTCAGTGCCCTTCTAGGGCCACCTTCAGCCCTTGTGGCACCTTTGTATAAATTAGAAGAGGGTGCCCTTTCCTCAAGCAGATACAGCTCCATGCTGGGACTTGCCCTTTAGCCCAGTGGCCTTGCACAGGAAACACCTCTAGCAGCCATACGTATGAGGATGCCATTTCCAGGCAACTTTCTGAGCTTAGTGAGTGAGGCCCTTCCCTTGCCCCTTATTCTCTTATTTTTTTTGGATCCCATGCTGGCCTGCCCCAATTTGGGGCTGACGGTTTCCAGCTTTGTGTCCTCCAACCTGCTCAGTGTCCATCCCCAAAACTGGTAATAACTTCAATAGCCACAGGGGAACTGAACCAGAGTCATAGGCCACAGCTCTTCCCTTTGTCCTCAGCATGCCCAGCAGCAGAATGGAATCTTCCATTGAGCTGAAGGAGGGGTCAACTTGGACAGTGCCTTAGAAATGATCCAGGTGCTGGGGCAATGGTGAGTTGGGAGGCCGAGATCAAACTTGCGATCTTCTTCCTTGACCTTCCAAATGACTGTGCCCTTCCATTTCATTATCTTTATTTAATCTGCACCTTCTCTGCCTCCTCCCTCCACTACCGGCCCCAGAGAGGGGGTGGAAGCCCCAGTTGGAAGGGAAGGGACTACTCTCTCCTCCCTGGGGGAGGGACAGTGTCCCCTGGGCCAGGCTCCACTGATGGGAGAAGCAGTAGCACCCAGGGCAAGGCAAGGGCATTGTCTAAGAGGCTGAGACAGGAAGAGGCCAAGTTCAAGGCCAGCCTGGACAATTTAGCAAGACCTTATCTTAAAATTTAAAAATAAGGGCTGGAGATGTAGCTCAGTGGTAATATGCCCCTGGGTTTAATTCCCACTTGCAGGAGGGATAGGGGGTGGGGGATCTAGACCACATAGGAATATGGAGTCACCTGCTCAGGGTAACTCAAAGCTGAGTCTCAGGGCTGGGGCACAGCTCAGAGACAGGGCAGGTGCTCAGTAGCAGGGGCCCTAGGGTCCATCCCCAGCACTACAAATAAACACAAACCCCTGAGTCTCAGAGGCCTCAGACTGTGCCATGAGGGTCCCTTTCATCCTGCTCCTGAGAATGCTGGAGTCAAAATCTTGGTCCCCCACCCAGAATCCAACATTACACCTTGACCCAGGGAGGATATCCATCATGTTTGCAGTGGTAACCTTGGACTCACCACTCAGGAATGCACAGAAGCCCTTCCATTCATATCTTTATTTAATCTGCACCTTCTCGGCCTCCTCCCTCCCCCACCGGCCCCTGAGAGGGGGTGGAAGCCCCAGTTGGAAGGGAAGGGACTACTCTCTCCTCCCTGGGGGAGGGGTGGTGTCCCCTGGGCCAGGCTCCACTGATGGGAGAAGCAGTGGCACCCAGGGCAAGTCAAGGGCATCGTCCAAGAGGCGGTGGCCAGGGCCAGGGCCCCTCGGATGTCCTGGCTCCCTGTGTGTCCCATGGATCATCAGGAAGGTGAAGACGAGAAGCCTTGGGAGAAATGAGCACAAGGTTGGGGTGTATGCGTGGCTAACAGAGGCAGACAGGAACTTCAGGAGGCAGAGTGGAGCCCAGGGACTGTGGGGGGCCTAATGGGAGCCCCAGGTCACAGGGGAGGGATCTGGGTGGGAGAGGGTGTATGGGCACTAGGGAGAAGAGCAGGATGGGCAAGACTGTGCTCCCAGAACCAGGCTCCCAAAGGAGAGGGCTGCATTGCAGGGTCAGATCAGGGACTGCCCTGGAGCAGAGGTGAGAGGGTGGGCAGGGAAGGACCTAGCATGTGAAGGGGGTGGGAAATTTGGGTGGGCAGTGGGGCCGAGGCCACCATGCTGCCTCCTCCAGCTCTTCTCTTTGGGGAAGCCAACCCAGTGGGCATGGCCCCAAACCATTACATTGTGCTTCTGTGTTGCTGGAGGGCTCCCAACATGGCCTCAGCCAGGGCAGGAAGGAGCCCAGCATGCAGCTCTCTGTTGCAGGCTACAGCTGTCTCCAGGACTCCTCCTCTTTCCAGCCTTTCTGGAACCTTCCTCTCCTGCACAATGTGCAGGGCCCCCAAGCCTGGTCCTCTACCATTACAGGGAGTGGAAGGTGGTAGTTGCGGGGAACCATGCTGGGGATGGATATAGACTCAACATAGGTGGCGTCCATTTCCCATGAATGACACAGGTCACTGCGTTTTAGTTTAGGGAACCCCGGCCCCGCCCCCACCCCTGATGTGTGGCTGGTCTGTTCTCCCTCGTGTTTTGGACAATTATTCAGGTATCTCTGCCCATGGTGAGGGGTGGCTCTGGGGCTCTCAGAGTGCACCCTGCCCATCCCCCCGGCAGCCACTGTCCCCATGGACAATGAGCACCGGGAAGTAAAGGGCATCCTCATAGCACGGTGGGCTTTCCAGGGGCTCCGTGTCCTCTCCACGGCGCCCTAGTGGCCCCCCGCTCAGGCTGCGGAAAACCCCAGGCGTGGCCCGGCCTCCTGCACCCAGGGAAAGGCGGCTGCGGCTGAAGGGCAGGCGGGGCCCACTGGGCCGGGCAGGGGGCAGCGAGTTGCTGCTGACAGAGCGGCGACAGCGCTGGCAGCCGCGCAGGTAGGCGCCGGAACCGGCGCCCATGACCACAGCCTCTGAGTAACTGGGCACCAGCTGTCGATTGGAGCAGATGTGCCACTCAAGCTCGGTGAAGTCCACCGTGGCCACACGGGAGAGAGGCGGCCCGCTGGGCACGGCCCCCGGAGGGGGCGAGCTGGCGCCGAACAGCTTCTCCACCTGGTAGTGCACGTGAGCGGTGCCATAGGCCGCCACCACGCGCAGTGGCCAGGACAGCGTGGCTGCCGACACCAGCCAAAAGACCCAGGCGCGCGCATACCAGGGCGGGCTGCGGGGGTCTGCGAAGACCATGAGGGACTCCCGGAAGTCCACATCCTTCAGGTGCATGCCCTCGCGGGCCTCCAGGTAGTCGTCCAGGCCCTCATTGGCGCTGAAGAAGCGCGCGCGCTGCGTGAGGTACGAGGCCTCGGCCTCAGCGCTGCCGAAGCTGAAGCACTTGGTGAAGCGGAGGCGTGTGGCCGCATGATCGGCCAGGCCCACCAGCTCCTTGGAAACGTCGCGGACCCCATGGGCAGAGTAGTCAAACTCGCCGCGTGCAGTGCGACTGTCGGCCCTCTCGTGGTAGACCTGCGTGGTGGTGTAGGCATCGCCGTTGCGGTAGCGGGTGATCTGGCGTGTGCGCCGCACGTAGTGGTAGCTGGTGGCCTTCCACCAGACGCAGGGCGGGGCCTGCTGTAGCCGGTGGATCAGAGCAAGCACGGTGTTGGCGTCCGTGCGAGGTGCCTGGCATGACCGCACGTGACAGTGCCAGCACTCAGCCAGGTAGAGGAGGTAGAGGAGGGAGACAAAGGCCAGTGGGATGTACAAGTAGCCATCCGAGCAGGGGCTGGCCGGGTAGGTGGGTGGAGGACCCCCTGCCCCACGTGCCAAGGCTGCCTCGGGCCCCAGGACGAGACGTGGCACGGTGGCGAGGCGACACCAAGCCACCACAGCCCCGCAGGCATGGATGAGCAGTGTGAGGAGCAGGCACTTCCAGTGCGACTCCCGGCACAGGGAGCTTCCAAAGGACTGCTTCAGGGGCCGCTGCTGCAAGGTGGGCAGAGACAGGGAGGATGAAGTCAGGATGGAGCCCATGGTTGGGCCAGTCACCCTGCTTAAGCCCACCCTGCTCAGGTGGTGAAGGAAGTGGTGCCCCAGGACCACTGTGTAGAGCAGAAATTGAGGCTGTAAGGAATTGAGTCCACTGCTTCAGACCTTGCTGCTGGCCAGCCCAGTGCTACTTCAGGATCCAAACCCAGGCCCACCACCTCTGAGCCTGTCTTCTACTGTGCTGGCTACTGAGAAAATTGAGTGCTGGTGGTTCTAGCTCTACCCTGATTTGCTGTGTGGACTTGGCCATATCCCTGCCCTCTCTGGGCCTTGACTCTTGGCCCTGGTGGTCTGGGAGGCCAGACTGGCAGGGGCCCAAGGGTCCAACAGGATGAGCTTTGGAGTTTAACAGCCCAGGATCTGATGCTGCTCTGCAACTTACAGTATAAATTGGGCAGGTCCCTCATACTCCCTGGACCTCAATTTCCTCATCTGTAACCTGGGGTTGTGAGGATTCAAGGAGATTGTAAGTGTGAAGATATTAGCACAGGGTCTACCCATGGGAATAAACATTATTACTGTTATCCTGAGACTCTCTCAGGTCCTTATTCCACTAGGGACAGCAGGAGACTTGGAGAAGCTTTTAAGTCAGTGAGAAAGAGGGAGAGCTGGGAGTGGGGGGAGGTGTGAGTTTTGGGGTGGGGAGCAGATGGAGGGCCGCCCTCCACTCCCCATCTGTGCTAAGGGAGTGGGAGGGACACAGCTGCTGGGCAGCAGGGGCCACTCTCTGGCCCTAGGGCTTGGCCCGCCCTCCTCGGCAGGGCTGCCAGCCTGGCCACCTCACCCCACAAGACAGAAGAGGGTGGGGAGCATGGAGAAGAAGGTTGGAGGCAGAAATAATAGAGGTCAGATTATATGGCCACATCTCCTACCCAGACCCACAAGGCCTTAAGGAGAGGAGAACTGGCTCCAGCCCCACCCAGGGCAGCCTATCTCCCTCACCCAATACCCAGCCCCACATGGCCAGTCAGGTGCACATAACACTCATCCACCTCCAACCAGTGTTTATCACAGACCCCTCCCCAAGGAGGAACACATGACCTGTCATTGAAGAAACATCAGGCCTTCACCTGTCCCTAAAGCACAAACCCTTGCAATCACATCAAGGTGCACACACATACCACCACCACCACCACCACAGCACGTACACATGCACATACACGTCACGTACTCTATAAATCCCAGAGACACACCAGACCTTCACCTCACCACACTGCACATGCCCCACCTCTACAGCAACCTGACACCCACACGGGCACTCCATGCCAAACCACAGACCCACCCATGACAGGACACATTCACACACATAGGCACTGCTGGGCAAAGACCCAAGCCAAGGGACCCACCAGATCCTCAAGTGATCATAGGGCACACAAGTCCCACCTACCCGAGTGTAGGGAATATACACACTGGAATTCTCACACACACCCCACACATGGGCATGCTACCTTCACTCACCACCGGCCACCATACCCCTCACCCCACGGCACAGGGTCCCTGCAGATCTTCCTGGCTAGGTTGGAGGAGGATCTTCCTGGGGGTTCCAGCAGGGTGACCCTTAGGCCTCACCAGAAGGAAGAAGGGGTACCCAGGCCGCCTCCCTTCTCATTGCCCTCTTCCCTCCCCCACCCCCAGGCCCTGTCACTGCTGCTGCATTGCAGGCGCCGCCTGGCACCTCGTGAGCAGCTGAGCCGGGCTGGGGGCCTGACCCTGTGGCCCTGGGGGTGGGAGTCAGCATCCCAGGCTGTGCTGCGGCATGGGAACGCGTGGGGGCCAGGCGCTGACGTCACCGGACGGGCTAGGACAGTTGAGGGGGCGCCGAGGGTGGGAGTCACCTCCCCATTTTCCTGCCCAGTCGCCCCACTTCTTGCCCGCCCTTAGGTCTGGGACCCCTGCCCGAATGCGGGCTTTCCGATGACGTCATTGGCTATAGGGGCTCCAGGATTTCCCTCTTCAACCCCCTTCCTGGGGGTCATCCCCTCTGCTAGTCTCCTTCGCCCGGCTCCAGCCCCGGCTCCGGTCACCAACCACCCAGCGCAGGTACCTCCTCCCGAAGCGGCTCGCCGTCCGGGATGAGCGCAGGCACCTCCCCACCGTCGCCACAGCCGCCCTCTGGCATGGTGTTCTGGCTGCTCCGGCGGCCCCGGCCCAGGCCCGGGGCATGATAGGGGAGACGCGGAGGGCTGCGGCGCGGCCCCGAGGGGCGTCCGCTCGGCTCGGCGGCCGCGGAGGGAGTGCGCCCAGCCCCAGCCCGAGCGCGGCGGCGGCGGCGGCGGCGTTGGCGGTGCCCGGCGCCCCGCCCTCCGCTGACCCCGCCCCCGCGGCACCGGCGGCGCCGCCGGCAGCGCCTGGCACCGCGGGCTCTCCCCAGCCCCCCAGAAGCCGTCTGGGCTGCCGGACGCCTGGGTATTCTTCTGGTCGCTCTCGCTCTTGCGACCTTGAGCAAGTCCGTGCTCTACGACTCCTGAGTTGCCCAGGGCTGTAAAACCAAGAAGGTGAATCTTGAAGATGTGTGGGTGCCCGATGCGTCCCATCTCTAAGGGGTAAGCCTAGAGCTAAGCCCACCCAGAACTCACCCTGGAAGCCTCATTTGTTGGGGCATTTACCATCCAGAAAGGCTTATGAGCCTCATCCACTGGGCAGTGGCGCTAGGCTCCTCTTACGGCAGGTGAGCTGGGGATTAGGATATTGGGGACCTTAGGCTGCAAGACCTTAGGCTAGCATACTTTACCCCCAAACTCAATTTTTCCTTCTGAGAAATGGGGGTGGAAAAGTGCTGGAGTAAATTCACAAGCATTCATCAAGCCATGTGGGGCAGTGGGGTTTGCCCTTGGTGGGCCTCCTACACGAGGCCCCAGTGCTGCTTCTTGGCCCCTAACAGCCTCACATCCTCACACTGTGCTTTGGTCTGGGCCTTAACCCTAAGCTCACAATCAGTGGATGGAATATAGGAAGCTGCAATACTGGGTGAGTTATTTTGGGGTGTGTGTTTAAGCAAAGGGATAATCATTTAAAGATGACATAACAGAGAGAATGTGTGTGGGGGGGGGGCGGAGAGAAAGAATAGGTCTAGGGTTACATCCATTTACTTATTTATTTCATCCATTTATTTATGATTTGTTTATGGTGCACAGATGTTTATTGAGTGTCTCCTATATGAAACTACCATGCTTGGCACTGGGCCTGGGGAGACAACTGTAGGAGTGGACAGTGAAAAAGGCTCTGTCCTCACAGCACCTACATCCAGGGCAAACTGAATGCAATCCAGAGGGCACTTACATCACAGGCGCTGGCCTCCAACCCATACCAGGTCAGGCCTCTGTCCTCTTTGTTTCTCTGAGGCAAAGCTGAGTTGATTCTTTTTTTTTTTTTTTTTTTTTTTTTTTTAAGAGAGAGTGAGAGAGAGGGGGAGAGAGAGAGAGAGAGAGAGAGAGAGAATTTTAATATTTATTTTTTTTAGTTTTTGGCGGACACAACATCTTTGTTGGTATGTGGTGCTGAGGATCGAACCCGGGCCGCACGCATGCCAGGCGAGCGCGCTACCGCTTGAGCCACATCCCCAGCCCCCTGAGTTGATTCTTAAAGGCTTTGAACATGTGGATATGAGGGGGAAGGGCATCCCAAGTGGAGGGGACCTCTAGTCAAAGGCACAGTGGTTGGATCACTGTGGGTTGAGTCTGGGGAGCAGGAAGGTTACCTGGTGTAATGGACACTAGGAAGCTAATTAGAGGCAGGTCTCAGAGCCTGATCATACTCCCTAGAAAGGAATGCCTGAAGACAGGGAGGTGTTTGAAGATTGTCTCTAGGCAAAGTGGGAGTGATTTGAACCTGAGTGAACAGAAAGGATCCCCTGGGACAAGAGAGGTTTGGGGGCCTCACTTTGAAAATAAAGGACAAGCAATGGCTCAGGAGTTTCAGCTGCAGTTTCAGGAGATAACAGATCAAAAATCGGCTGGACCACTGGAGAGTCGATGGGACAGGCCCGGTGCAGGATCCTGCTCCACCTATACTACCCAACTTCTGGGACTTCAGATATTCTGGTTTTAGATATGCACGCGCAGGGTATGGATCCAAATCTCAAGTCTTCCCAGCAGAGGCCCTTGCGGGCGGGTCTGCATGATGGCGGTGGAGCCGGAGAGCATTTTCAGCACCGGTCGGTGGACAGCACCCTCACCGAAAGGAGGAGAGGGAGGCGGGAGGAGTCAGAACTCTGGGGCTGTCAGCCTCTCAATCACTGCCAGGCCCCGCCTCCAACCAACACCGCTTGGTCGGTTGGTGTACCGCTCCAAAATTGGATGAAATATGAAGGACAAGAAGGAAATCGAGCGGGGAGAGGGAGGAGCAGGCGTCCCCAGGGACGGGGATTGGTCAGAATGCGACCACCCTATTCCCTCCTGGAATACGTCCCACTAATGAAGCTACGTTCTCTGACTTCAGCCGCCAGTCTCCTGCTAAGGCTTGCTCCTGGTGCAGTCGTGGCAGAGCGAGGGTCAAGTGCTCCACTGCGCAGACGCGGAAATAATTCACAACACCCTTCCACTTATTGGCTGTTCCCGCCTCGAATTAGCAAGCCCGCTATCCAATCTAAGAGCGTCTCTAATTGCTCCGCCTATCCCTCGCCCGGAAGTTGGCTACAGCCGAATCTGCTTTAGCTAAGGCTCTCCAGTAGCCAATTGAGAGAAGGGAGAGGAGAATCGGAGCCGCCTAAGAGCCAATGGCAGGAGGCTTGGCATGACGCTACGGACATGGCGACCGCAATCGGTCAACTCCGGGACGTGTCGGGCCGCTGGGTAACCTCAGTCGGTGCCCGGGGAGAGAAGCAGCGGCCCTATTAGTAATCGTACCCACGAGGCAGCGCAACCGTCCCTCAGGGAGAGCGAGCGTCGCAGCAATGGCTTATCACTCGGGCTACGGAGCCCACGGTGCGTGAGGTGTGGGACGGGCGGGGCGCGGCCTGGCCGACTGGAGGAAAATCAGTGGCGCGGCCCGCTCACCCTGAGGGAGAGGGGCGGCCGTTCCCGCTGCCCAGGGCAGGGAATATCACTTGGGTTTCTGTCCTGCAAGACTGCAAGGCGTCCCGGACTTCATCCTTTCTATCCAATAGCTTGGATCTCCATGTCAAACCCGGGGTTCTCCAAAACTTCCTTTTCCATGTCATGATCACCTCTCAGTGCCTCTCGATAGCCAGCTGTTGTTTTTCCTACCTTTGTTCTTGCAGGGATATCTTTCCAGTTATCTTCACCTTGCAACTTCTGCTCACTTTCCATGACTGGGTTGGGAGCTCAGAAACCCCAGGTGGACAGCTACTTCCAGGCTCTCTTCCTTTGCCTATGCTTAGTAAAAGATTTTCCGCAAAGGATTCCTCATCAAAGTTGTTTCTGAATTACCTATCCTTCACACAGCTTGATTTTCCTTCACTGATTGCCTGGTGCACCCAGGTTCAACATGGGGCTGCTCAGCCAGAGGAAAGGACAGGGTTTTGGGCTGTGGTTTGGTATTCCTTTCACCCACTCTAGTACTTCCAAATTCACAGGTTCCAAGCACAGGGCCCGGGCAGCTCCGGATTCCCCTCCCCTCTTTGATGATACAAGCGGTGGTTATTCCAGCCAGCCTGGGGGATACCCAGCCCCAGGAGCCGAGGTGGCCTTCAATGTCAACCACTTGCTTGGGGACCCAATGGCCAACGTGGCTATGGCCTATGGCAGCTCCATCGCATCTCATGGAAAGGACATAGTGCACAAGGAGGTGTGGTCTGCCCCCAGGGAAAGGGGTGGCAGGATTTCTGGCTAGGGCTGGGATCCCACCTGATCTTCATAGTGGCCCTCAGGGAAGGAGCACACAGGAGTACCCTCAGGCTCTGGATGTGGCTCCCCCACAGCCTCCTCTCTTCCCTCCCAGCTACACCGTTTTGTGTCTGTGAACAAACTCAAGTATTTTTTCGCTGTGGACACAGCCTATGTGGCCAAGAAGCTAGGGCTGCTGGTCTTCCCCTACACACACCAGGTGAGCTTCCTACCAGGTAAACGGGCAGAACCCCCCCCCCTCCCTTGGTCAGACCTCAACTCCCTTCTCTCTCTCTTTCCTCTTCTGCTTCTGACCTGGCTGCTGCCACCACTGCCAGAACTGGGAAGTGCAGTACAGTCGTGATGTGCCTCTGCCCCCACGACAAGACCTCAACGCTCCCGACCTCTACATCCCTAGTGAGTCTCTGATCTGGATTGGGAGACACAGTGCCTTGTGGCATGAGCAAGAAGAGAGTCTTAACTTGATCCAATGTCTGCTTTTGGTGCTTTTTGTGTTGTGGTTGCTAGAACCCAGGTAGTTGGGGTGAAGTAACTAGTAAGAAACTTCCTGAATATGCCTTCAGTGTCCCCACAGCACTTTCTGCCTCTTAATCTGGACCATGTCCTTCATTAGCTTGGCGCCTTGGGCTTTGCCCTGCCATTTCCAGCTGTGGACTTTAGCCTGGTTCTTGCATTCCTTAGTAAAGCAGCAATAGTAGTAGCCTCTACCTCAAAGGATTGTTGTGGAAATTCAGAGAAGTGATGTGTGTTCAACATCTCCCCTGGCACATAGGAGCCCACAGTAAATGCTAGCCGTTATCATCATTAGTAGTTGTCTTCCAAGGCCTATTCCAGCTTTCCCTCCTCCAGGAAGCCTGCCTTAACCCCTTGAACAAGTAATTGCTCCCTTTTGGGTCCCTACAACTGCCTATCCACATGACACACATACTGTGCCGTGGCTGGCCAGCTATGCTGCTGACTTTTCCACCCTGTTAACTGTAGAGGACCAGGTCCAGAGTGGACACACTGAGAAGGATGACTCCAGAGGGGTCAGTCCCCAGAGAAGCTTCTAGGGAGGGCAGTCCACCCAGGTGCTCCAGGAAGGACAAATGTTCTTCCATACTTCATTCTATGTGCCTCTCAAAGCCACTGTGTAAGGCTGGCACTGGCATCCCCAAGTTACATGTTGAAGCCAAGGCTCAGAGGGACTTCAGTATCTTGAGACCACACAGCTATAGGTGGCAGAGTTGATTTCCTAACACCAGACACTGCCTTCTGGGAGGCACATCAGTCTGCTACCTCACAGGAGACAGAGGACAGGAATGATGAGGTTTAAATTGCTACTGAACCCCAGCCCCCACTGGCACTGAGCTCTTGTGAAAACTGCTCAGGGTTAAACTTGGAGTTCTCTGTGTTGTGAGGGTGGCCAGAGCTC